GCATACCACATGAGCTCCCATCTGCAGTCTGAAGTCCAGTCACAGGTTTTCTACTTCATTGGCAGTTTTCCAATTGAGGCGGCACCCGGCATGGATGCTTTCTGCAGAGCTCCAACATTTTTAGGCTTTTTTCATCTATTAAACTTGTTTTACAAGGCTGTTTTTTGAAGCAAGAACTGTATCATTTCAAAAGCTTAAAACGGATTGCCTTACTTGCTGATAAGATTCTAAAAACCTCCTGTAAACTGCTGCAGCTGTAAATCTCCATTGGAGGCTTTCGCTTTTAGGAGTAATTAGTTACTGTGGCCATTTCTAGTGGGTGCTGCCCCAGTGTTGATGAAATGATGAAAACTAAAAGCAAGAAAAGGAGTAGCAATAATTCTAATTCTGACTTACCTCCTGCCATAAATCTGAAGTAGCTCCATATAGATTACTTCCTAAATGATGAAACTCTGAGTGAGTTTATTCCTTTTTCTAAAAATAGATTTAGCATGCTGGAGTATTTGGGAGATTTGAATTCCTCTTGTCATTTGCAAGAACACCCTTCAGATGTGCATGATGAGACTCCAGCTAAAAGAGAGGGGGAGACCCCTATTGCCAGCTCAGGGCCCACTTTGAACATAAGCCCTTCAAATTTTTCAGCTACAAGAGGACTGATAGAAATCACAAAAGGCCCACTTTGAACAAGCCTCCTAAGGAAAAAGAGAGAGGTATGACAGAGTCAGCAGCAACAATTGAACACCCACAAAAAAGAGAGGCCAGCTGTTCCTTAGCCCAAAAGAAGGATCCTAGTCTTGCCTCCTGCCACCATTCTGATATGAGTGACAGAGCAGCAACCAGGTCCACCAAGGTGGGATGCCTGCACTGGAAAAAAAACCCAGGTTGCCCTAGAAATTGCCGCAGATTGCAGTAAATGCAGATCATTGGAAAAATAGACAGGAAGTTATACATTCATTATGCCATCCCCTTCGTTTGGAAGCCATTGAGGGTGATCTTGAGCAAATCGAGAGACTTCCAAACTCCTCTTCTAATAGGAGATTGGTTCTTTCATTCCAGCAATCTACTATTCCATTGATGTTGCTAAAAATGAGAGGATTCCTAGGCACCTTTGATATCCACCCAGTCAGAGTCTTCCAGGATGTGAGTAAGAGATCTCTCCTTCCAAGTTGCGGTTGGATGTGCTTTTCCATCTGGAGGTCTTCAGAAAATCCAGAAAAGAATTGTGCACAGATGATGACCTGGTACCTCCCAGGGGTGGTTGTGGAAATCATAAGTATGGAACCAAAACTCCTGTCAATTTGATCAGTGAAATGAAACAATCTGCACATGCAATATTAAAAGGGGCCTAACCCATGAAGGATTTAATAGATTCCAGTTTGTCAATGAATACCTCCCTGGTGATTATCCCTATCACACTGCTACATGGGAATACTCAAGATCCTGATATTCAACAGTGTGTCGATTGTGACTCCCTGGATTGCTTGTCTATCCTGGATCAGCTCCCCCGCCTCCCTGAAGATTTACAGGTGGCTTGACTTAACCAGAGCACCTTGAATTCAGAAAAGACATCAGAGGGAGGGGAACTTTATTGACCTAACTTTAACTAACCCAGAAGACAGTCTTGAGGCCAACTAACAGGTAGTCTATGCATGTTCTCAGAGGCTGGACCCTCAGGCATGACGTTTCAGATCCAAAGACAATCAGAAAACTACCACTGCCATTGAACTACCATCTTGGAACATGGCTGGTTGGACACATTGTATTTCCCAATACCCTGATATTCCCTTTTTTGTCATAATTATGATATTATTCTCCTACAAGAGACTTGGTCTGATGCCGATTTAGTCCTAGATGGTTTTAATTCTTTTAAGGTATTACAATCAAGATATAATGAAGATAAAAACATAGGCTTTTATACTGGTCTGAACAAAATTGATAAAATTTGGCTGTCTTCAAGTGACAAATTAATTCAGAAATGGTATAAAAAACTGTTAGAGGAATATCTACAGGAGGAAACTACCAAAACGGCAATGACAGCATGGGCAAAAGAGCTAGAGTATACAATAGAAAGAGACCAATGGGCAAGAACATGGAAAACACTAAAATATTTAAGAGCGACTCCATATAAGGAAAACATATTCAAAATGTTTTATAGGTGGCACTGGATTCCGGTAAAAATTGCAAAATGTTTCCCGAAAGCTTCGAATATTTGTTGGAGATGCAGAAAAAATATAGGCTCATATCTCCACATTTGGTGGAGATGTGGTAAAATCCAGACCTTTTGGGAAAAAATACATAAAATATTATTAGATACATTAAAAATAAAACTACCATTAATACCAGAAATATATTTATTAAATATGATACCGGATACAATAAAAGAATATACATATATAATTATATATATATTAACAGCAGCTAGAATTCTTATAACAAAGAGATGGAAATCCAAAAACACCCCTTCCATAGCAGAACTTAAATACAAGATTCTAGAAGTAACAGAGACGGATAAACTAAACATAACATTACAAAATAAACCAGAGGAGCTGTTCTGGGACAGATGGGGGAAAATTTATACTTGGCTAAAGATAAAGAAGATAAACTGAAAAATGAAAAATGCTAGTTAAGATTTGTGACGAGATACAAGAAAGATGAATGTTGTGTTATGATACGTATAAAAACTAATCAAATGAGATTTTATTGTAGATTGATGAAGAATCCATTTGGAATATTTGTGACTGTGTGAGGGCACTTCTTTATGTATGTATTTGAGTTATTTTTTAAATCGCAATTATAATTGTAGCAAGGTATATTGTTCTGAAATAATTGTAAGAATGTTTCTTGTTAGGAGTTTTGATGTGTGAGGAAGTCATCGCGAAACGGAACACCAACTCCGGGGAATTTCGTCCATCTATATATCATCTGGAATACAAGATGTTGCTGTTACTGTATATTTTGTAATTTTGTACTCACTTGGAAGACTAGTATTATTACAACCACTAATTGCATACTTGCAGTAGTTGTATTTCTTCAAGGCTGTTCAAAGACATATCAACAGAACTGGAGTGTCTCCCAAGGTACTCTTATCTTGTGGAATTGAACTAGCAAAAAAGGCTAACTAAGCAGAGAATTGAAGATATAGAATGCCAATCTGATATTTCTACTAGTGTACCAAACCTTACTGCACTGTCAAATGTCAAATATGCTGTTGTACTGGCAGCCTATCTAGCTTCTTTGGAAATAAACAGTTTTAGAAGGCATTCACCCTGACAAGGAGCTCTGCACTCCCCTCTGCAGTGCTTGAAGGTAGGTATAAGAAAATCCCCGACCTAGAAAGATTATGTACATGCCCATTAAGGGAGGTCGAGTCCATCGAGCATATGTTCTTTAAGTTGCCCGTATTATCAGGAGGCTCATTTGGAGATTATTACTCCATTGCTGGATAAGATTCCTGGTTGCACAAACAAAGCCAGGCTTGATTGCCTTTTATCTGATAAGAACTCTAAGGTCACTTATCAAGTAGCTAAATTTTGTGCACTGATACTGAGGTTATGGAAACTGTATTTTAAATTGGTTTTAAATTCAAATCTTTTATTTTTGTATATTTTGTATTCTGTATGCTCATAAAAACTTTTGTTATAACTATATGTATGTGGCTGGTCTAGTGACCATAATAAATTCTACTACTACACCTGCTACTTATGAGAAGTCCAAGTTACAAAGTTTGACCAGTTTGGATTAGAAACAACACATTTAAATCTTCAATTTCTTGTATTTGGTTGCTGTTCTAAACAGAATTTAAAGGGAATCATTATAGCCTACCAATCCCCAAAACAGTGTAGTTGTTTGTTTACATGATTAAAGGTCTCAGAAAGAAGAACAGCTTGTGATTGTTTTATGTTTCAGGCAGAAAAACAAGATGTAGATTGGTTCCTTGCAAAGCTCCCCTTTTTAAAGATTTTATACAATTTCCCACAACCACAAATATGTCTCCTAACTGTCATAATACATTTGATTATGCTGGATGGTTCTGCAAATAATCACTGTGGTATGTCACTAAGATAAGGCAGGGTTTTTTTTTAATAAAAGAAAAGGTTTTAATATATTCAGCTTAGAACCAGATTCTAGACAATAAGCATTGTTTTGTAAAATGGCCAAGATCCCATCACAACAGTAATAAGAGTTGTTTAAAAAATATCATCTAAAAGAACATATTGGATTGGATCCAAACTCTGAATTTCTAGAAGCAATTTTAATACATTTTCCTTCCCTTTACTTTGTAGGGCTGAGGGAGTCTCCAGAATAATGCTCCATATGGCATCATGGAGATACTGCAGCTAATCAACCAAATCAAACAGAATTCCCACTCTCCTCACTCTTAAGTAAGTATCATGAGCAGCAATGATGGCGCTGAGACCCCACCCGAGTTGGCATCGCAGCCAGAGGCATCGGCATTGCCAGAACCAGAAACTGGCCCCTCTGACTCCTCACAAATTGGTAGCTTGCCAGCGCCCAAGCCTGTAAACCCCGCACCTGGTCCTGCAGCAGCTAAGGAGGCACAGGTGCAATCGAGGAGCCTGCCTGACTTACCTCCACCGGTGGTTCAGCTAAGGGAGTGGCTCTGCAGAGACTTAACCACTCACCGTCGAGATGCACGCTGGCAGGAAAGTCAAGCGCTGAGTCTTGAGTATTAGCAGGAGCGCTGCTGGGAAGCCCGGCAGGAGGCCTATGTAATTCCCACTCAGGACTGGGCTCTCGTGGAAGCAATGAGTCGCCTCTGTGCATGCCTTGCATCCACCTTCGGCTCCTGTGATCGGACCCCCACTCTGGCTCAGATTCCTGGCTTCCTGACCCCTGCTTTGGACGACCAGTCTTTTGGACTCATGATTTGGCTCTCGCTCTGACTCTGCTGGCAACGACCTTGGACTGGACTTGTCTTCTGCATCTCAGCCCCAGCCTAGCCCATGACAGTTTGCTTCCACCCCAAACTCGCCCACAAGATGGAGGGGGCAGCTGGAGGCTCTGCAGACCTGGCAGAGTTACACCTTCAAGTGCAGCAATTCATGCAGGTGATTGCTCACCTGCAGCAACAGCAAGTGCAGCAGCAAGCCACCACCACCACCACCAGTCCTCTGCCAAAATGCCTGGTGAGTCCTCCCGAGAAGTTTGGCAAAAATGTGGAGTTCCCTGATTTTCTGGCACAGTGCCAGTTGTATATTAAACTGCGTGCCTGGGACTTTCCCACTGACAAAATGAAGGTCTGCTTCATTATTAGTTTGTTAAAGGGGCAGGCAGCCAAATGGGCTACCCCCCTGGTCGTGGCTCCACCTCCCCTGCTGTACAACTACTCTGGCTTCCTCGACCACCTGTTTGTTGCCTTTGCAAACCCGCAACAAGCAGCTGCAGATAATTGGAAAGTATGAGCCCTGAAGCAAAGGGCTTCATATTCAACTGGCACAAGACCTGGAGTGGAATGAGGCGGCCCTGATGGACCAATACATGGAAGGGTTGGCGGACAAGGCCCTTGATGCACTCACCCAAGTAGAACGACCCTCCACATTGCAAGGCCTGATCACCTTGTGCCTATGCATTGACAGCTGCCTTGAGAGTCAACGCCAAGCCTGGGGTAGCAGCCATACAGCCCAGGCTCCCCGATGACCAGTTCTCATGCCCCTTCCTGCAGCTCCAAGTACCGGGAAAGATTAGAGCAAACCCATGCAATTAGGAGCAGCATGACCCTGATTAACCCAGGAAGAGAAGGCATGGCACCGGGCTCTGAACTTTTGTTTATACTGCGGCAGAGTGGGGCACTTCTCAGCTGGATGCCCAGCAAAGCAGCCCTGCCGTGGCACACCATTGCCGCTGCCAAAAGACCTGCCCCAAGCCTGGACCCATCGGTTTGGGGCACCTAGCTGGGTCCTCTGAACTATATGCCAGTGACCAAGGCCCATTCCTGTTCCCTGTCAAACTCTGCTTGCCAGACGAGCCCTGGCTGCTTGTCTATGCTATGATTGATTCTGGAGCAGCCTGTTGTTTCATTGATGCCAGCTTTGTGGAGCAGCACCAGATCCCGCTACAACCCAAAGAGACTCCAGTCCTTGCGGAAGCCATCGACGGACATCTCCTCTGCTCTGGCCCTGTGACCCAGGAAACCTGCACAGTCACCCTTCAAATCCATCAGCACCTGGAACACTTGCAATATAATGTTGTAAGCATGCCCCGGTTTCCACTCATCCTGGGACTCTCCTGGCTGATGACCCACAACCCCATCCTTGACTGGGCTCAGCAGGGACTTTTTGCTTCCGAGACCTTTGCCCACACCACACCCATGATGCTTGTGACAGCTGCCCTGGCAAGCACCTCCCTGCTCCCACAAAAGTATGCAGATTTTGCAGATGTATTTGAGGAGAAGGGGGCTGACCAGCTTCCCCTGCACTGGCCATATGATTGCACCTTTGACCTTGTGCCAGGAGCCCCCTTACCAGTAGGGTACCTGTACCCCATGTCTGAACCAGAGCTGGAAGCTCTGTGAGACTTCCTCACAAAGAACTTGAAATGAGGCTTCATTTGGCCCTCTATATCCCCACTATCCACTCCGGTCCTCTTTGTAAAGAAGAAAAGTGGAGAGCTCTGCCTCTGCAATGACTATTGGGCATTCAACAAGATTACAGTCTGTGATCAATACCACCTTCCATTGATTCCTGAACTCCTGGACTGCTTGAAGGGGGCCCAGATCAATACTAAACTTGATCTTTGGGGTGCCTACAACTGGGTGCGTATATGGCCAGGGGATGAGTAGAAGTCCACACTTGGCACCCGGTATGGCCAATATGAATACTTGGTGATGCCATTTAGGTTGACCAACGCCCCCACCATCTTCCAGAGGCTGATGAACAACATCTTAGGGACCTGCTTGATTGTTTACTTATTTATTTGGATGACATTTTGATTAATTCACCCAGCCCCACCCAGCATGTCGAGCATGTCCACTGCAGTGCCTATGAGCCCACGGTCTCTATGCCAAACTCGAGAAGTGCAACTTTGACCTGCGTTCTGTTGACTTCCTTGGCCAAATTGTATCTCCTCAGGGGATCCTCATGGATCCAAAAAAAGTGGAGGCTGTCCTGACGTGACAGGCCCCTCAAAACCACAAGGACCTGCAATGGTTTCTCAGCTTTGCCAATTATTACCAGCAGTTCATCCCAGCCTATGTGTCCCTGACCACCTCTATGACCAGTGTTCCCTCTAAGCTGAGTTAGTGTGAGCCAGCTCACAGTTTTCTAGCCTACAGCTCACACATTTTTGTTTTAGCTCAGGAAGGGTGGCTCCAGAACAAACTAAATTATGCAGTAGACAAATCACTCGCTCACAATTTTAATGCCAGTAACTCACCAAGTAGAATTTTTGCTCACAAGACTTCACAGTTTAGAGGGAACATTGTCTATGACTTAGCTCCTCCAGCCCAAGGAGGCCTTCCACTGGACCCCGGAGGCCGACTAAGCCTTCACTACTCTGAAAGCCCACTTTGCCACAGATCCACTCCTGCACTATCCATACCCCCAGCTGCCCTTCACTGTCAAGGTGGAGACTTCCAGCATCTCACTTGGAGCTGTCCTGTCCCAATGAGATGACCCTTCCCAACCTCTTCAGCCCTGCACCTACTAATGGTGCAGCTAATGGTGGCCAAGAGAAACTACACCATCTGGGAGAGGGAACTGCTTGCCATCAAGACTGCCTTTGAGGTCTGGAGGCATCATCTTGAGGGAGCACACAACCCAGTTCAGGTGCTCACAGATTATTGCAACTTAGAGTACCTCCAGACAACTCATCATCTCAACCAGTGGCAGATCTGGTGGTCCCTTTTATCCTCGTGCTTTGACTTCCAGATCACCTATGTTTCTCATACCCATAACTGGAAAGCAGATGTACTCTCTCGAAAGCCTGAGTACACGCCCGCTTCAACCAAAGAAGCCCCCTCCACCACCATCCTCCCACCTTCGGTCTTTGCAGCCAACTCGACTCACCTGACCCTGACAGAAGAGATCCGTGCCAGTCAGGGTCACAACCCCTGGGCACAAGAGCACCTCCAGAAGGTGCAAGACAGCCCAGCAGGAGACTTCTCAACCCAAGACAGCCTCCTGCTGCACCACAAGTGACTCTACATGCCACCCAGACCCCTGCGAATGGAAGTGTTGCATCTGTCACATGATGCTCGACCAGCAGGACACTTCAGCCAGCACAAGACCACCCATTTATTGACACAGGAGTTCTGGTGGCCCCGAGTCTGCACTGACGTTGCCCAGTACATCAGCTCCTGCGAGGTCTGTTGATGGGCTAAAGACCTCCCAGCCAGACCCTCAGGTCTCCTGAATCCCCTGCCCACACCTTCTGGACCCTGGAACACTATCGTCCACTTACCACCCAGAGTCAGATGGCCAGACAGAGTGCACAAATGCCATGTTGGAACAGTACCTCCACTGCTACACCAGCTACCAGCATGACTGGGTTGCTCTCCTGGCTCTGGCCAAGTTTGCCTATAACAACTCCGTGCATTCGTCCATGCAGCAAACACCATTTGCCACGAACTATGGGTACCACCCTCAGTTCTTCCCATCAGTCCTTTCACCCACCAATGTTCCAGCAGCAGATGCCTATCTGCAAGAACTCTGTGCCCTCCAGGACCTGCTCTGGGAACAACTACAGCGGGCTAAGGAGGTGTATAAAATTGCAACTAATCTGATAGCGGAACTCCCCCTAGTGGAGATTATTCCTGTGGCCCAACTCTGCCTTATATATGACAGTGGGCTGTGAGTTCGTTTTACCCGTGTATCCAGAGGGCGGAGTCAGAACGGACTCTCCTATTTCCCAAGAAGCGAGACAACACAGCTGATGTTTAAAGAATAAATGTTGTCTTTACTAAATATTGTTGATATTTCCAAGCATACAAAACAGATGCGTTCACACATACACACAGTTTCCTTTAGTTACAGCAGGTATAGAAAACAATCAGTAAGAAAAATAATAACATAGGACTCACTGGGAAGTAAACACACAAAAGGAAAAAGGTGGGGTGGGGAAAGGCTAGCTAACCAAAGGACAAAGGTGTGCATCGCCTTTTAAAACCTGCCTTAGGGGCTGGCCCTGTGTGCCAACCTCCTGTTCTGTGATCCGTCCCCTTCCCTATGTCTATTGGTCATTGGGATGGTGACGTCTATTTGGAGGGAGTGGGGCAATATTCAAATTCTAAGCCTACCCTTCAATGGGAACCATTTGGTCAGGTGTCAAAGTTGTATTGCCATAGTAACCTTTGAATTGCAGATGCTGGCCTGGTCCAGAAGGTAATAAACAGGATGTTTTCTTTGTGATTCAAACCAGATAAGAGGGGGGTACATGTTATCCAGAAGATCTTTAATGGTGGAAAGTTGTTGTTTCTAAGAGTCCATGTGGCTGAGCATTATGGAGAATGTCTTCTTTGTCCCAATGCAGGCTGGGAAAGTGTGGGTGTGCGCTCGTGTGTCCATTAGCATACCTATGCAGGCCCTGCACATCGCAGCTTCCAGATGCAAGCAAGCCAAAGCAAGCAAACTGCAAAGCACACAGCATTTCCCAAATCCCATACACACAAATGCAGAGACATTACAGACATACAAGCATCAGCATAGCACAAATAAAATACATTTTAAGCACACTTGCCAACAGACCACAAGCAGCAGGAGGGCCCACAACTCAAACCTGGGGACCGTGTCTGGCTATCAACCTAGCACCTCTGGCACACTGGCTGTTCACACAAGTTGGATGCCCATTTCATCAGACCGTTCCTGATCAACCCAGTGTTCCACCAGTTGCTTCTGGTGCCAGCCACGGCCCCCTGACCCAGCTCAACTACCACCGCTATCGCCACCCCTGCTGGAGCTAGTTGAACATGAGGAAGAATATGTGGTACACCATATCCTGGATTCCCAGCACTATCGGGGTGGCCTACAATACCTCATTGACTGGGAGGGGTCCCTTAACTTTGATAAATCCAAAATGATTGTCTTCGAGAAAAGTTGGAAGCCCATTAACTGGATTATACAGAGGGGGGAAAATTGAACAAGTTAAAAGCCTTAGATATCTGGGCATTTATTTCCATTATACTAACAGTTGGGCTACACATATCAAAGAAGCAGTCAAGTCATCAACTAATAACACCCTTGCTATTGCCCATTTCTTTTACACCAAAGGACATCAATATATTTCCACTGCTCTTAAAGTATTTAACCATAAAATACCAGCCAAACTGCTTTACTGATAGCCGAACTGCCTTATCTACGACAGCGGCATTATGAAATATTAATGTTCGGTGGTAATTCCCAATGTATACAGGATGCGCCTCCTTGGAGGAAATCAAGTTTACAAACAGAGACGAGGCTAATATTCTGAT